GGCATTACAATTCCTGACTTAAAATTATACTACAAGGCTACTGTGATAAAATCAGCATTGTACTGGCAACAAAATAGACCTGAGGATCACTGGAATACATTAGAAGATGGTGAAACCTCTACGACACACTCAGCCACATTATCTTTAACAAAGGGGCCAAACATATTCACTGGAAGAAAGATAGCCTCTTTAACAAATGGTGCTGGAAAAACTGGCTCTCTGCATGCCGAAAACGAAAACTTGAACCAGATCCATCACCATGCACTAAGCTAAAGTCAAAATGGATTAAAGATCTAACCATTAAAACAGAAACACTAAATCTCCTGGAAGAGAAAGTAGGAGGAACTCTTGAGGACATTGGGGTAGGCAAAGAGCTTATGAACAAAAACCAAATCACACAGGAAACACTTTAAAGAATTAACAACTGGGACCTGCTCTTACTGAGAAGTTTTTGCACATCAAAAGAAATTACCAACAAAGTGAAAAGACAACCCACAGATTTGGAAAAAATCATGACAAATAAGTTCTCAAAGGTCTGCTCTCTAGAATTTATAAAGAACTAAAAAACACTAGGGCCCCAAATTTAAAGACCCAGTCCAGAAATGGGCATCCGAGATGAACACACACTTCTCAGAGGATGAAATTAAAGAAGCGAATAAATATATGAACAAATGCTCCACATCACTAGCCATCCATGAAATGCAAGTTAAAACAACATTGAGATATCATCTCACCTCAGAAAGGATGGCTATCATAAAGAAATCAACCAACAATAAATGTTGGAGAGGCTGTGGGGGAAAAGGAACCCTTCTCCACTGCTGGTGGGTATGTAGACTGTAACAAATTTGCAACCGTTATGGAAATCAGTGTAGAGACTCCTTAGAAAACTTGGCCTGGAAATCCCATTTAATCCAGCTATTCTTCTACTGGGAATTTTCCCGGAGGATCTGAAAACATCATATCATAGGGATATATGTGTGCCTATGTTTATAGCAGCACAATTTGTGATATCCAAATCCTGGAAACAACTAAGATGCCCATCACCTGAGGAATGGATGAAAAAGATGTGGTATTTTTATACAATGGAGTATTACTCAGTTATAAAGAATGATAAACTCAAAGCCTTTATATATTAATGGATGCCACTTGAAAATATACTCATAAGTGAAATAAACCAGACACACATGTGTAAATATCATATAGTTTCCCTAGTATAAGAACTCAAAAGAAGAAATATACAAACAGAAAGGTATAATACAACTAAAAAGAAAGCAAGAACTTGAGGACTAGACAATGAAAAGAGAGCAAGGAGAAGAGCTAGGAAACATGACAGGGGCAAGCCTTACAGTTATATGTAGAAGATGGGTAAGGCAATGATCCTGAGAATCCTCAGAAGATTCTGGAATCTTGCAGTTAATTGGAATGATTCTCACCCTAACTGTATATACAGACACATGTGAACTAATCAACTGCATTGAAGATGGTAATTTGTAATAGTAGGTTCATGCTTGGATTGCCTGTCATTCTGGTCTTCTGAATTCGGGCTGCTTGTCATGACATGCCAGTTGCTGCTGTGCTGTCTCTCAGGTAGATGATTGTTCAAAAAGAAGGGGGTAGTGAATGAAGGCAGGAGACAGGAAAAGGAATGGTGTGGGACTGTCCTGCTACAAGGTTGTATATGGTTAGGTTTCTGGACTTATGTGTAAACGCAAGAATTATATAATTCTTTATGCCCATTTTTAAAATATATTTTAATTTTTTAAATGTTTTCTCATCATATTCTGTAGGAACTTAAAGTTCAACATATCAATACTTGAAGAAAAATACTCGTTCCATGTTATGCCTAAGATGTTTGATATTCAGACAGATAGTGTGATTAAGCTTCTCTTCTGGATGGTTAACAACCTAAGTTTGCAGACCAAATTAGAGAAAAAAGAGGGCCACAAGGAAAGCCAACATTTTGGCCCTAGCCTTCCAAGGTCAATTAAGACTCAGGACATACGAGAACTTGTACTGTAATGTCATGTAACTCAGCAGTGTCCAAATTTTCTGATCAAGGAGATTATGGGGCCAAAGAGGAAAGTGATCGATAATGTAGAGTGTGCCTAAGGAGAGTCACATGGAGAGAAAACATTCTCTCAGGCTTTCACGGGGAGCACATTGGCCAAGCAATGGCCGTGACTCATTCACATGGCTGACAATGACAAAGGATCTACAATCTGAGGTACAAGATCTCAGGATAAATCCTGAGGGGATTTCACTGACCTTATCAGACCCAAAAGCTACAACTCTTGTTGCATAGGCCTTGCTTTATCTTGGTCTTAACCATCCAGCAGAAAAGTATAAAAATGAAGTATAAGAAGCCAAGCCATGGTGTTATGTTGAGCTGTAGGAGACTTAGGTCAACAATTTCTGACACTGCCAGTCAAGCAGAAGACTATTATGGATTACTGGATTCATTTAAAATATTTTGCTGAGTTAACACACCTATAATATTCAAATGACGGAACTAAACAAAAAAAGGGATATATAAATGAATGTCCATTTTGTATCTGTGTATTCAAAACGGTTAAGATAGATAGTTACATTCTCTTAATGAATAGAGGGAACTGTTCTAATGGTGTTTGTAAACAGGATATCATGTCTGCATCTTGTATAGCAAATAATCACTACGAAGAGAGTATGCAATGTGCTAATTACTGAAACTGTCCTACCAATTTGGAAAAAAAAAAAGGTCTGAGCCTATATTCAATCAATCCTGTGAATGCCACCTCATTCAGATCTCAGTCCAGCTCTTCCTGGGCTGTGCAACCCCAGTGTGTTGGTTACTATACAAGCCCTAACCACTTTGCTTCACTTCACCATAAACTCCTTTCCCTGACTCAACCCACAATGTACAGCTAAAGCAATTTTTCTAAAATGCAAACCAGACAATCGAATCTAGCCCAATTCACATAGTCCCACACTGCTAAATACTATAGTGTCATTTCAAAGATGAAGACATGTGTCACAACAAATATGCAAATTTAAAAATAATTAAATGCTATTTGCAAAACCTCCATTGGGCAAGAGGGGCAAACTCAAATGTCTAAAGCAGCACTGCATGATGTAACTGCAGCCAGTGAGTATCAGTCAAACCAGACTGACTTGAATGGAGACGGGGAGGTGCAGCAAGTATGGTGGAATATGAGCTTCGTGTTACCAAATGTCTTGAACTTCCAAGAAAATCCAGAAATTCAGTTTTCATGTGAAATGTATCAATTTTAAATGCTGGCATTTCAAATATCTTTTAAAATATTTGATCACTTTGACTAAATAGTCACATATCACATTCAGTTTCTGACCTCTGGGTTATATTGATTCATTCACTCATCCTACACTGCTACATACTATACAGCCATTTTAGTATTTAGTGCTTATTACATGACAGACAATATTCTGGGCAGAAGGGACACTGCGGGGGAAAAAAAAAAAAAGACAAATCCTTGCCCAATTTGTAAATACTATAAAGACAGAATATAGAAATACATCATAAACTATTTGCAATTATTTAAGGTAGTAGGATGGTAGTTTCAAGGGACTATTTCCATCTGTGTTCATTTTTTTACAAGATGTATTACTTTGGTAAAACCCAAGTAACTCTTTTTATAATTTCTACTGATTTTCTATTCAATACACTCCCTAACGCTGCTGCCCACTTCGTCTTGGCCACCATCTCCAGTTCACCCATTCCTAAGCGCCACGACCTGTTTACTTAACGGCCCCTCAGAAAGGAAAGCTCTCTACCTTACCCCCATCTACTCTCACGTCTATTATGCACATGGCCTAGCTCTACTTCTACAACAAGCAAGCTCCTGCTCATCTCTCATGCCGGATGAACTTTCACTGTACTGACAGAAGGTAAAAGCAAAAGCCCCACTGTCTGTGTATAATTAAAATCATTATCATTTGTATCACTGACAACCAAGTGTCAAAATAGAAGCAGTACTTGATATTCTGTAAGTCCTGGTTTATCAAGACAGTAAAGAAGTCTACTTCTACATTTTCAAAGAGCCAATCACCACACCACAGAGCATCTAAGAATTAGGGCTGACATCCTCTTCACAGATCTGTGGCAAGTCAACCGACATCGCTGGCGGACTTCGAGGATTACTAAATTAATGATGTGAGAAAATTAAACAGTTTGAATTGTTAGCCTCTAAGAACATCTCAGATCCTTAATTCCTTAAGTACCATCTCAGAATGAGCGCGTACTGCACTCAGGGGTGAAGCCTAGGAGACAGTTTTTAACAACTTTTGCTGAAAATGACGGCTCCTTGTCTAGTTTCTATGGAAACAGCCGTCAACTGACAAAAATAGGACAAGTGCTTTAAAATAATAATTCAAGCAAAGCACACACAGGATGGAGGGCTTAAGAAAATGAGAAAGGAGAGAAGAAAGAAAGAAAGAAAGAAAGAAAGAAAGAAAGAAAGAAAGAAAGAAAGAAAGGCGCAGGGCTGCAGCCCCGCTCCCAAGCCCACACCCGCACCCGCGCCCCTGCCCGCGGCCGGCCGGCATGCCGGGATCGCGGGGATCGCGTCCTCCAAGCACGTGCTCCCCTCTCCCTGGCTGCCCCTCCGCCGAGGGCCGCTCGGCGCACGGGTGGCTCGCGTAGGACGAAAGTGGTTTTCGTGGGCAAGTTTTTAGAGATCATCGCATCGCGCACCGTTCAGACAAGCGCCCTGGCGCTCGCCGCCCAATACCGGCAGACGTCCGGGATCCGGGAACGCGGAAGGGGGACGCGCGCGACCCCGCGCCACAGGCGCGGCCACGGGAAGGGCGGGGCGTCCCGCCAGAGCAGGTAGGCCGCTGCCCGCGCCCCCTCCCGGCCTGCCGCCCCGCCCGGCCGGCCGCTGCTCCTCGCCGGCGCCCGCCGCCCCAGCTCCCGTTCTCGCCCCGCCCGGCCCCGCAGTCCGCCCGACTCCGAGGAGAAGAGCGGAGGCGTCACCGTGAGGACTCACTGACAAGCAGTGGCCACGGCCGACTCCGGCGACGCAGCTCTGCGCAGGCGCGTGCCCGCGCCCGAGGCCCCGCCCCCACTTCCCGTCCGCCGTTTGGCGCGCGCCTTGGCTCCGCCCACCCCGGGCCGCCCCGAAGTTAGCCTCTCCGCGGGTCCTGGGCCGCGCGAGCACCGCGGCGCTCGGGCTCCCCCGCGCGGCCGGAGGGGGGCGTGCCCGGGCCTGGCCTCCGGAGCGGGATCTCGGGAAGGACACGCGGACAAGGTCGCGCGGGCGCGGCTCCTGGGAGGGCAGTGCTCGGCTGGCGTCCCGCGGGCGTGTGGGGCGCGTGGGAGTCGGCAGGCGCCGCGCGCGTGTTCCAGTCCAACAAAAGTCGGCCTGGCCTGGCTGCCCCGCGGGCCCTTCCGTGCGACCCCGGCCTCCTGAGTGTTCTTCGGACGTGAAATGAGCAGACACCCTTTCCTAGTTACTGCATCTAGTTAGCAGAAGAGAAGGACCACCCCAAGGTCCGGTGGTGTATTCATGAATTGCCACCCTAATTATTCCGCCCGCCTCCTGGCAGGCCCCAGCCCTCCTGCCCCTCTCTGCTGGTCCAGATCGCAGGCGCCGGGAGCCAGGCTCTGAGCTGGCTGAGCAGGAGGCCGAGCTTGGAAATGCCCTGCTTCCTGCCCCACAGGTTCCAGCGGAGCGCCTTCCCAGCAGTGCCCATCCTGAGTTCTTCATTGCACAAGCAAAATAACACCACAGAAAAAAAAAAAGAGACGTACCTCTACCCCTGCTGCTCACATCTGTTTTGAAGTGCTTGATATTAAAACATTACTGAAACAAAATATTCTTCCTGTCACTTCAGTGTGAATTCCTTCAAAGCCTAACAAACAAAGTAAACACTTTGTCTTGCCTACATTGCGTTTGAATTTCTTTAGCAAGTATCTCTTCAAGTCTTTAACTCATTTTTTAATGAAATACTTGTTTTTGTTTTATTAGCTTGTAAAAAAAAAAAGAATTGTCTGGTGTTTAATATTTTTCCGACATAGTGTTTGCCTTTTCAATTTTGTTAATTCATATATATATAGGAATCTGTCCCTTT